TGTATATATGCACACATATAAAGATGAGCATGCACACTTGTGCATATATAAATATGTATATATATACACACATTTATACATATATACATATGTATATGTGTGTGTGCATATTATGCACATATGCAGACATATATGTGCCTATATATACGGGGGAGAGGGAGGGAGAGAGAGAGAGGAGAGAGGAGGAGAGAGAGAGAGAGAGAGAGGAAGAGAGACAGAGAGACAGAGAGAGACAGAGAGAGACAGAGAGAGACAGAGAGAGAGAGAAGAGAGAGAGACAGAGAGAGAGACAGAGAGAGAGACAGAGAGAGAGAAGAGAGAGAGACAGAGAGAGAGACAGAGAGAGAGACAGAGAGAGAGACAGAGAGAGAGACGGAGAGAGAGACAGAGAGAGAGACAGAGAGAGAGACAGAGAGAGAGACAGAAAGAGGGAGAGACAGAAAGAGGGAGAGACAGATTGCTGGGGACTAGTTTGCGCCCTCATATTCTCTTCGTGAAGGGCTACTAGTCAAAGAGTTGAAATAATTGAAATCCCACGACACAGCCAGCATTGTATTCATTTCAAATACTTCAGATATACAGACCCCACAACTGTTGAAACAGTTCAAACCGGCCCGTTTCAAGTGTTTCAAAGACAGGGGGATCCCAAAACTCTTGAAATAGTTTAGATCCGTAACCTCAATTCTTCGGGGACCCTTTCCCACCGGAATCCGTAGCCTTGAGCCCTCGTGGACCCTTGACCCCACCTGAAGTACTTGGAATAGCCCCATGTCAAGTGTTTCAATCATTCAGCCGCAATACCTTGACATCATTGAAATAATTGAAAGCCTTGACCTAACCTCTACCCCTGGGGCTGTGTTACACCCCACCCACCCACCCACCCACCCCCTTCATCCCCCCCCACCGGGCCATTTCAGTTTGAAATGAAAGAAATACTTGCAATGGGCCCCGTTTTAGTTCTCCAGCCTCCAAACTTGAAACTGTTGAAACGAGCCAAATTTCAGTTGTTTCAACTATTCACCCCCCATACACACGGAAGATAGGTGAAACAGTTTGAACATGAACAGGCTGTGCGCCGAACCAGACTTGACTGCATTCAAAAACTAAGCAACACCAAGCCGAGCCAGCGCAAGCAAAACCAAGCCGTTCGAAATTAGAACTCTTGACACTCCTGTCTACCAGAAGCCCCGGTCTAACCGAAAAGCCTCTCGGACAGAAAGCCCTGTCCAGCTGAAGCCCCTGTCTTACCGAAATCTTTCCAGGCTGTATCGAAGAGGCTGGAAACCGGAAGACCGATGAGGGTACCCTGCATTTGCAATGGTGTGTGATGGTACACCCCCGGCTGCATACGCGATCCTCGCCCGTAATTAAGACTATGGATGATCACAGAAATCTGCAGAGAGTGTAGGAACGGACATGAAATCGGGATTGGCCTTGTTCCCATACACACAAAGCCAAAAACAGCAAGTAGGAGGTAATTATCAGGCGCATGTCGAAGAAGCTGGCCATGTCTAAACACGTGCTTAGATCATAGTATGTAAACCACAAACAGCCCAACTTCACCCAACTAGCCGCCCGTGCTGCGCCTTGAGGGTATCTTGCCTGCCCCTTTCCACTTGCAATGCAGTCGGACAGCCGCACGGTTTCGGGGCTTGTGTGGTTGAAGATGTTTTGGACTACCTTCAACCGGCCTGTTTGGCAAAATAATCCGAGATGGTGGTGAGGAGGACAGCCAGCAGGATAAGTCCACCAAGCGTGGTAAGAATTCCAACCTTTGCAGGTCAACTGCTTTGTCGTTTTCCGTGCGCGCCAGCCCTTTCAAAATCCGGCAGGTCTCGCAATGTCAACGCTCTGTGCTTTCCAACTGCAGCTCTGCAGCAAAGCCCATGATAGCCGGTGCCTGCGGGTCGACAGACGCAGCTGATGCCCAAACAAAGCCTGAGCTCACAGTACACCGTTCAAGTGCCTTCGATCTGCTTTGCTGTCGTTTTGCATGAAAGATAAACGCAGTTCTTCCTGATGCTAGGGCGTATGCAGGGCTGTTGCGGACGTACGCTTCAGGAAGCCTACCGAATGAAACAGCTTATCTTCAAGTCTTTTGCAAGCGGTTCCGATGGCTTTTCTTGCAAGCAGCACATCCAAAGGCCTGTGACCGGCGACTCATTCAAGAAGAATGCGTACAGGAAAGCCCCCGCAGTCAAAAGAGACAGGATGCCAACGAAAAGGATGGCGCCCATGGCCTGACAGCACACTCCGCTAAAGCTGACGGTGCGCGACCAGGTTTTTAACTAAAGAGCCCAGGAGCCGCAAAAGCTCACATGTTGTGCTGGCAGCTAAGGTGGACAGCCAAGCTTCTGAAAGACCCTCGGAGTCCATCCAGAAATTGAAGCGATAAGCCAGGTACATGCTGAAAGATCGACCTGAGCAGCGAGAATCGCCAGATCTCATGCAGAGTGTCGAGAACTTAACTCGACCTAATCGTCATCGCGTCCGCTGCTGCGCAGCATTTCCAGAAAATAAACAAAACTCTGACTTGGATGTCACCGAGTCGCCCTCCAACTTCTCAGCTAAGAAATTCTCATGCTCGCTGTGCAGCTTCGTAGGCACCCAATATAGCCAGAAGGCAACTCCACAAGCAAGCACAAAGTACCCCAACACCTGCCGGAAGAGGCGCCAGAGCTCGTGCAGAGATGGCCCTGCAGCTGGGGGGGGTGCGGCTGGCGAAGCCGGGCTGGCTGCTGAGACCTTGTCCGACACGAAGGATCCTTCTGAAGGAGGGCCCCGCAGCCGGGTCTGCGTGGCATTCGTGCTCGCATCCTTCGGGACTGCCGGGACGGTGATGGTGACAGCCCTGGCCGGCCAAGCGAGGAACGCGATGAGCAGGGCGCTCCTCAAAACGACGCCCAGGCCCCTCACCGAGCCAGTGCCCGGCGGGCCCTTCATTGCGGCTGAGCCCTGGCCCCCAGCGGAGCAGGGCTTGAGCTGAAGGACGCAAAGGCATGACGACGATCCATGTGAACATCGCACTTTGTTCATCCAACCGAACATGTTAATCGATCCTATGGCCTTTGTCTGCGCGACTGCACCGAGGAATGCTGCAGCTGGCGGGCGAAGAAGTTTCTTTCCTGTCATGGTTCAAAAGGGTCCACTAGACAGATAGGTTGGCAGCATCTTTGAGGCAAACTCTGCAGAAGTTGTCTCGACTCTCACAGGGGGCTTTGGGCAGAAGGATTCGGATGCCTCCTCCTCTCGCCGCTGGGCCTGAGAATCCAGGTCAATGACAAAAAGGCTGGCGAAGCAGTCGGGAACGCATCAGGGCATGGCATACGGCATGTACACTACTCAAAGCCTTGAAGCGCATCTTGGCTTGGGCCCGGACGGCTCCCTGCGCTGCTGGAAGCTGCGGGCAGCTCGCCTTCAGCAAATGGAAAACCTCCCTCTCTCTCTGAAGTCACTTGGCACTTGGGCACCCCCACCCGGAGCGCATTGGACGTCTTCGCATCGGCAGCCGGAAGCTGTGGGCAGCTGCTCGACTTGGCATGGCCAATGTAAAGCTGAACCACGAAGAACCCTGGCGCCCGCTGACAAGGCCTGGCCCAGTGGAGCTGCCAAGGGTGGGCAAGTGGTCGCAGACTGGCTTGGCACCCGTGACCGCCTCAAAAACAGAGAGATCATCCCATGCGTACGCAAGCCATTCCAAAGGTGGCTTGGAAGAGTCTCGCTCGCTCCCTGCCAACGGGGATTCTGCCACACTTTTAACTTGGTTTAGGATTGATGGCCGGTTTGACGGCTTCGGGTTGAGGGTTGTATTTGGAAGAAAGCAAGCCATGTGGGGCTTACGGTTCAGGAGTTTAGGGGTTAGTCCAGGTTTGGGGTTTGCGACCACTGCTTTGGACCTTGGGGTTCAAGACTTTGGAGTTCGAACCAAGTGGAGTTTCTCTTGCCGCTGCACTGACCCAACATTGATTCTCTCAGCACTGTGACTCTGCCCTACCTTTTGACAGCCTTCTGCGTCCACCCAGGACGTAAGCATCCTCGAACCGGACTTTGGGCCAACAGGCTCGGAAGACGTTCGTCGCTCTGCTTCGGGCTCAGGCTTACTATATGCCTTCTCAAACCCACTCTTCACACCCGATGCAATCTGAGTCACAGGCACAACACTGGGGAATTCCGGTGATGCCGGTCGAGAGATCACTGGCAGATGAGTGTCCTCAATACAACAGCCAGCATTGGAATCACCCATGTGCTTTGGCCGCTACTTCCGAGAATCGTGCTGCCATGGCTTGCCGCACGTGCACCTGGCCCATGCAACAGACCAGACATGCCACTGTAACGTATCTTTTTCCTCACTTCCGCCTTCTCAGTAGTTCATGAGAAAGGCTTCGAAAATCACCTCGGCAAGGAAACGAGGTGGGTCCTCACGAGGTCACCTCACAAGACAACTGGGCAGCTGGCGACCACCACACAGTGCCGGAGCTGAAGGAAGTCCAGCTCTACGGGATGCGTAACTCCAAAACCCTTTCAGACCTGCTGCCCTTCGCCCATAGGTCCATAGGTGTGCTTTTTGTTGTGACATGTTCCGACTCTCAGCCGCAAACGCCTGTAGAACTGCAGATGGCGCTGCGTTAGTTCTTGTATGCTCTTTCGCTGAAAACTGATGCCTACCATGTGCATTCACGACGGGTTCCTCTGGTTGACGTCTTTCAAAGCTCTGTCCATAAGAGCTTCGCTGAAAGATCCGATCCTAGACACTACAGGGTGACACACCAAAGCTGAGCCGAGGCGACGAGAGGCGGACTGGTGTGCAGAACTGTCAGCAACTGCAGCACACACCAAGCAAGGCCACGTCACTCAAACAAGTATTGCCAGCCAATAAAACATTATCGTCCTTCCCACAAAGGCATCGAACCTGGCTCCAAGCCAGCTTAGTCAATCCGTCAACTGACACCCTGCGTAGCACAGCCCTTGCCGAGCAAATGGAACCGCTGAGGCGGATGGACCTTCTGATGTAACGCCGCCTGCTCAAGCTGTTTCAAGACGACGATCTGCAGACTTTGACCCTGAGGATCTCAACTCACCACAGCACTTCCGGGGTGCAGGCCCAGAACTCTTCTGGGCAGCGACGAAAATCGCCAGCGGCTCGGGAGTGGTCATAGCCTTAGAGACTTCTCTGAGCTTCGCATAGCACGCGCCGCGCAGCCTTTTCTGTTGTCCGATCACGAACTGAGTCGCAGTCAACTTCTGATGGACTCATCGCTCGGCTCACGTCGAACCTACGCAGTGGCTCATGGGAAGGAAGCCTCATTTACCTTCATGTTCATGTCAAACGGATCGTTATATCCCGCATCCACCAATGCGTGACAATCGTACGGGTGATAGACGGGGTCAGCACGCTCAAGAGAGCCACAGCATGCAGGTGCCTCTAGAGGCCCATCTCGCCAGTGAGGCGGGCGTGAAAGGCAAAGCACCTGTTGCATGTTCGGCTCTGGACCAACTCCATGTTGCTCTTTTCACCAACTAAACTGAATCAGCACCATGTCAAACCGGAGATTCGACGTGGTCTGAACCTGCAAACCTGGCACAGATCCTGCCTTGAGACCATCTGAAATCAAATCAGCGTCGTCTGCCTGGTCCAAAGTCCGCACTCTGTCTAAGTGATAGAACAAACATACAAAAAAAAAGCGGCACTTCTGGCAAAAGATCAGCTGCAGGTGTTTTACCAACTTTCTGAGACTTCTCGAATGACGGTGGTCCCTGAAACAACTGCAAAGGCCCTCTTGGCTCCAAAAAAGCCTCGCTCGCAACACTTGCGCTGCAGATGCGGGGGGATTCTGCTTCGCCCACTGCCTGCCAGCAGAGGCCAACTCCGCCGAGCGGCAGCGGGGCCTCCACGCAGTGGCACCGCTACGGCACGCAGAGTCACGAAAAACGCGGTGTACTCTGCGGCTTCATCGAATCCCTGCTTAAGACTCTGGGCCCTGCTAGTCTTTTGCCGCTGAACCCCCGTAACCCATGGAGGATCAGGCCTGGATCGCCGCCGTGGCCTCTCCAGCCATCGATGGGGTGGGCGACCTCTGCTGGCACACATCGCAAGCTCTCCGTGTACACGTTCCACCGGGCCTGGGCGCGCTGGAAGCCTGCGCCACGAAACCAATTTGAGAAAACAAGGATATGCTCAGAATGACGAGTCTTCGAACGAACAATTAAATGGCATACTGTTTAGCTGTCCACTGCAGGCTGGCATTAGGCACCGATGGCAGTGAGGCGGCAGCAGCAGCTACGCTGATGAAATTTCAAAGCTCGCCCCGCTTTCGGACAGAATGTCTTGCGGCTGCGCTGACACTCAAAAGCACAGCCGGCCATGGCCTGGGTGCCCTCCTCAAAGGGGTCTGGCCAAAGGTGGTGGTAGTCGGAGTCGGCTGCAATTCAGAACAGGAAACACAAGAAACAGCAGAAACCGCATCTCACTCAAGCCAACAGTTTCTTGCCGGCCTTCACTCGAGCCGTAGCTGGACTCCCAGTCGTCATCTGCATAGTCATCCCCTATGCAGTCGTCTTCCTGCCGACAAGTGGAAGTGGGTATGCAGTCCGGCAATGATCAGTCGTGCGATAGCGCAAGCACACAGCATCTGTGAGAATCAGATGTCCTCATTGTAGTAGTCACCATCTACATCACCAATGTCCTGCTGGCAAATTTGAGAAGTCTTCGCCCGAGCGTGTCCCGAACATACTCGAATAACTAGACATACATAGTCAGGCATGTGCCGTGCTGTCGTCTGTCGACGTGCCTAGAAAGGAACAGACAGTGTCAGACAATGCCTGCTCATCGTATCCGTCCATGTCACGCGTGTCGTCGTCTATTTCCTGCACCATTCTATATCAAGTGAACACTGAGCCGAGGGAGAAAGCATATGTGCGCAGGCTTTGGAGCAGACCTCCTCGAAGTCGTCATATGGCTTTCGGCAACTGACAAACTCCTGCTCATCGTCATTTGGAACATCCTCCACGGCATGGAAGCTCAACCCACTTGACACATCGGAGAAACAGCAGCAATTATGGCCTCCAAGAATTTATGTCTCGCGATACCAGAAGGAGGTGGCGACATTGCATGTGCTCCGGCACAATGTCTTGTAAGTGTTGGTGTTCACTGGTGTGATCAACATCTAGGACTTTTCAAACTAGTGCTTGCTGTCAGCTTGCGATGCCGTGTATTGCTTCCCAGTAGTGAAGTGACTTCGATGGTCACAAAGCTTTGTATGTCCGTGCAACTCCGAGTCTGCAGTACGGCATAAACAGACACTAATTGTACTTTACACTACCGCCTGTTGAGCCAACCCTCGAAGTGCTCATCACATCACAACTGCCTTGTCGACATATCTGTCCGATTTCTCAACAATCTCGAACACATGAGCCAGTTGGGAACTCTTGAATATGCCAAAAGCCGAGTTCTGCATCCACATCGAAACTACCTCGATACCTGTTGGCAAACCTGCATCGGTTTCTGCAACTTTGCGGCTGAAGCCACTCCTGCAAAGTACGGTAGCCCGTCAACCAGAGCTTGTCACACATGGGCTTGACTTTGCACCTGCGACAAAAAAGCATCACGAGCATCAGCTGGACAGTGCTTTGACCAGCGAACTGCAACATGCAAGCACCATGAACATCAGTTGAATGGCAATTTTAGCCAGCAGCTGCCACCAGCCAGCGAACATCATGAGCATCAGCGGGGCAGCTCTGTAAACAGCGCAACAAGCAAGAATTGTTAGCAGCACTTCACAAGCCGGCATCATGAGCATTAGCCGCTTTCAACCGTGACTTAACAAAGAAGCGTCGTGAGCCTTCGTCGGACAAGCACTTTTCGCGAGCAAAAAGCAGGAATCATGAACATCCGCTGGGGGGCAGCACTTTAGTCAGCGTCAGCCGCACGGTAGCCAACGCTCGCAACAGGCCGGCATGATCAGCTGCCCAGCTGACTTGCCACGGAGACAAAGAGCATCGTGGACGTCAGTTGGATGGCGTTTTTGGCGAGCCGCAACAAGCCAGCATCATGAGCATCAGCTGGGCAGCACCACTCGCAGCAGGCCGGCATCATCAGCTGACCAGCAACAGCAACAAAACAACATGATGAGCATCATGAGCATCAGTTGCACTGCACATTTTTGCAGTGAGCATCAGCTGAGTAGCACGTCACTCAGGATCAGCCACACAGTACTGCAGCCGACACTCGCTAGAAACCGGCATCATCAGCTGCACAGCTGACCTGCCACTGCGACACAAATTAACGTGCAACAAACAAGCATCGTGGAAATCAGTTAAATGGCGCTTGTTGCGAGCTGCAACCAGCAAGCATCCACTCTAACCAGAACTTGCAGCAGGCCGGCATCATCAGCTGACCCGTAACCGCAACATCGCGAATATCAGGCGGACGCCGCTCGAGAGCGGCAACAAGCAAACATCATCAGCCACACAGTAGCCGGCATAAGCCATCATCAGCTCACCAGCAACTGCAACAGTGAAACATCGTGGTCGGTTGGATGGCGTTTTTGACCAGCGAGCACCTGAAATTGAGTAAAGCCGACTGACGTATGTCAGAAGGACAAATAAGCCTCAGCAAGGCCAGCAATGAATCACTCCAGAGCGAATACCGACAGGGTCGATCCCACAGTGAGTAAAAACCTGAAAAATACTCACAGAGAAGGGTGCACAGTCCTCCAGAGAATCAAAGCCGACCGACGTATGTCAGAAGGGCGAGAGGCAGCAGCGATTGACACGCTGCAAGGTACCCGGTACCAGCAACTGATCTTCGGCAGATGTTGACTTCAGCAAACAGTGCCGGGTAAGCACTAACAATCTTCAGAGACACTTAAGGCAGACCACACAAACCCGTAAAACACTAATTACCGGGGTCCAAGGTCTTAACACAGGCAATGAGAGCCTCAAACCAACCACCGACTCACAAAGGGTTGCTCTTGAGTGACACTTTGGGCCACTTTGCAGTAGGCAGTTTGAGCGCGTAGCAAGAGTCACAGAGACCCTTTTGCACGAGCTACAGGAGTCTCAGCCTCCCACCCACTACGCCCTCACAGAGAGGGGGGTTCCTAAGCAACTTCTATTCAAGATACAAGGACCTCCTAGTTACGGCCTCCCACCCTACTACGCCTCCACAGAAGTTCCCTTTAGGAATTCTTGAGCGGAGACGCCTTGAGCCAAAGGGGCTACGGATTGTTTCTGCAAGCTTCTAAAAATGGGGAGGTTGGGGGGGGCGCAACCCCCCAAACGTGATTTTTTGGCGTATGCGGGCCTCGTCGACTACACGCTGCAGCACTCGGTCCCTGTAAGAAAGAGAGGAACTAACAAGAAATGAATAAGCTGTACAAAAATGCTAGGTGAAACAGGAGCTGCGACATACAGACTTGGTCGGCGAAATCGTTCAGCTCTGATATATACACTGGCCCTCGGATCACTGGCCCTGCTCCCCGTAAGACATGGGTCGCGCAATGGCCACCATCATCAAAATTGTCAAGTTGGTGGCAGTTCGCAACACAAGAGCAAAAGGTGAGTTGCCATGTGCCCAGCTTCCCTTCCAATGGGTCTCGCAAGGGCGAATCACTCATTCAGAGAGCCAGTGTCGTAGAGCAGCCCGTCACAAACAGGCCGCTGTATCCTGGGATGTCAGTGCCCAGCTTCCCTCACAGGGTCTCGCAAGGGCAAATAGAGAAGGAGCACCACAAGAGTGCAACTCCTCCACATCTCAATTCAATAAGGTATCGGAGACCGCAAGCGCGTTATGGGGAGTGCTTGCATCGGTTCCAAGTTGAAAGAAGGCGTAGTGCGCAAGTTAGGCCAACCCAAGGTCCACGGCTGTATACCATCCACTGCATCATGGATGGCCGACGTACGCAGAAAGTCAGTGCCCTCGTATAGTCCAACGACCGCTCGACAGGTATGGCGGGAGACCGCGGCGAGCGTCATCAATGCCTCGAGATCAACTTGGATAATAGTGGCGCCGACTTGGAAGCCAAGCCGAACCCATAGTTGGAGTCTGCGCTCTATTTGCCAACACACAAACACACACCGATCCAGGTATGCGGCTACCGACCGTTGGTATGCCGTCAGCTGTTGCCGAAAGGCAAGACCGGCCGTTTTGCGCTCTCGCGAGCCCACAGCACTCAATAGCTGCCGCGTAGCGACATTCGGCGGAGCGCAGTAGAGCAGCGAGAGGGGTTGAACAGAGACATAGGTGGCGACACGTAAGAGAGTGTTCTCTGATAAATCCGCCATGGCCAGGTATCTACAACCTTACGGAAGAGCAAGGCACATATGATGAGCCCAGCTGCACAGTTGAAAAGATGTCGAGCGTGTAGTGGAGTCACATGGCTGAGCTAAGTCCGATGCAGGCGCAGGGCCCTAGCAGGCGGGCACGATCGCTGCCACCTGCAGATTCAACTTTTTGCAGCAATGATGCCGGTGGCAGCTGCATAGTCTGCGTCTCAAGTCGCGGAGCTCGGCCGTGCCGGTTATCCCGCCGCCCGGGATGGTAATCGTAGTACCTATCTTCCCAGACCCAGACACTGTACGAACTGGCCCCGCAGAGCTGGTCCTCGATTACCCTGCATTCGAGGCCCTATCGCGCCCAGCTTCCCGCTTCCCAATCGGGTCTCGCAAGGGCACTGAACGTATGGTAAGGCCAGTCCTCTGAGATCGATGGACCCTTTGGGCATCCCGAGGGCCATGCAATGCAGAGCTGGGCGTAGACTATGCCATAGCGTATTTGTCGTCACCAGTAAACCCGGCAGCCGGTTTGATGCGCCATGATGCTGCCCATGCTTGGCATCATTCAAGCAATGAGAGAGACGCCCGTAAGCACGCACATGGGCAGCCTGTCAAGCTGCCCCACTGGGGGCGACGCCAGGGTGATGATCAAGGTACGCAGGCAAAACCTGACAAGAGAAAGTGAAACCCCTAAACGGGGAGCACGGACTTGCCTTGGGGAGCACAACCACGAAAGGTGGTGGGGCTGAGCAGTGCATCCCAGCCAGCCTAGCAGTTTTCCTCGAGTGCAACGAAATGCTGGCAGCCCTCTAAACACGACTCTACTCCGTGCTTGCAGTCCGGCCACCCGGGGTGTCAGGCGCAGGGGCACAATGCCCCGTCCACAAAGGAGGGGTGATTCCCGCGGCTCGAGTCCCGCAGCTAGCTTGTGTTCAGAGCCCACCTCGCCCAGCTTCCCACTGGTGGGTGTCATGGCTCAGGGCTAAGTCCGACAGCGGTAGCCGCAGGCGTGTAAACGGTAGTTCCCCCCACCGTTCGACAGAAAAGTAGGGCAGCCCCCACTGCTCCATGCATGTGAAGGACCACGGCTGCAACTCAATAAGGGCCTCCTGAATGGCTGGTGTCCGAAGGAATGCCGCTTGCTGGAGGGACTGAGAGACTAGCTCGTAGGCCTCCCGAGACACCGATGCCAGCGTGACAACATGCTCTAGATCAATTTGTACCACGGTGGCCCGCACATGAATGCCGAGTCGTGCAGGAACCTGAAAATCGTGCGCCACCCGATAGCTGTAAAGGTTGTACTGTGCGAGGTGCACTTCAACTCGGGAATAGTGGGCATCATACTGGCGCTGGAGCAAGATGCGGGCAGCTCGGCGTTCCTGTCGACCGACAGACCTCATGAAGTGCCGGGTGACGTCACATGGCGGTGTTCCAAAGAGGGCTGGAATCCGTTGTAGGACAATCCAAGGAATGACAGCAACCAACAGGAAGTCCGGCAGTGCCTCCATGGCGGCGACTGAACTGCGGCTACGCCGTCTGGCTACTTGCCCTCCGCTAGTGATAGAACTTCGCAAGATAAGCCAGGTACATGTGCATGTGAAGGCTCCTGGCAAAAAGTATCCACGGCTGCGTTGCTAGCCATCTACCACTGAAAAGGGGGCTCATTAGGGTTCGGACTGCACTGTGCTTGCTGGACTCACATATCTGCCCGTAGCCGAATGGCCAGGACCCAAAACGGGCACACCAGCTGCTGTGGTAGGCCGACTAAGGTCAACCATCGATCTGTCGGTCGTCCACGCACCTTATTATAGGCGGACATTAGGCGCATGTCGC